CATTGCACTTTGGGAAGGAAATCCTCCAGTGACTCCACACCCAAGCTTTTGGAGACTGCCGAAGATCTGAGGGAAACTTCCATAAATATCATGAGTCAACCGGAGCTGGGAGCCAAATCCAAATTAACACAGTTAATTTCTGGTAAGAACCTTGACAATGCATCATGCAACACTCGGATTCAGCTCAGATACTGCGATTCCTTGGTAAGATTGAGCCCGCAACCCACGCACAGCTTACAAGAATAACGCACCTTTGCCCTTGTAAAGTTCACAATCCAGGCTGGGGGCGCTTTGCATGTGCTGCTGCCTCTGCCTGGAATGATCTAGCCCCCCAAATCTTCTACAAGCCGCACGACTGGCTCCATCTCTCCTTCAGGTCTCAGTGCGATGTCATCTCCTCAGAAAGCCTTCCCTGACCCCTCAGCCTAAGACACGCCTCAGCCATGCCCTGTCCCATCACCCAGCTTCATATCTCCCTTCACTATTATCGTCAAAGCTGGAATTGTCACAGCTGCTTGTTTATATGTTTGTATCTGCCCTCCTAGGGAGTCAGAGGAGTGGTTTAAATACGCACTCTGGAAGCACATGGCTTGAGTTCCAACTCTAGCCCTATTCCTTCCCTGCCCTGTGACCTCTGTGAGAGGGTAAGCAAGCTACTTACCCTCTCTGTGCTTGAGGTTCTCCCTCTGTAAAATGGGGACAGGATTGCTATGAGCATTAGATGAGCACAATGTTTGACACACTCAGATGACTCCTGGCGCATGTTCGGCCAGAACTTAAGTTCCTGGAAACAAGGGTCACTGCCTGTCACACTCACCACTGTATCCTCAGCACCTAAACCAGTACCAGGCACAAAGTGGGCATTTGTTAAAGGAACAAAGGAATGTAAAATAGGGAAAAATACCCCAATCTCCCAGGACAACTCTGGGGATTAGCCGAGAGGGCTCGGCCCAGGCCTGGCATGCAGTATTAGGAAACCTTATCCTAACCCCTGCCACACTCCTTCCACAGGCTTCTCTGTGTGGTCCCCACTTGAATGACATCCTAAGGGTGCAACTCCTTTGCCCACTGAGCCTGAGTAACTTTTAGGTTGGCCTGCACCAGCAGCAGGAGCCAGAACTCCTGTTCTCTGCTCTGTCAGCTACCCGTGGCCTGACAGAAACAGACAAAAGTGCTTTGAGAACTTTCAAGAGAGACACAAAAGTGAGGAGTTATCTTGACAGGGGACAGATAAAACTATGCTTTCTAGGTTTCCCAGAATTGATAACCAAGATTTTAAATATACACAATAACCATAAGATCCAGGAGTATATGCCCTAAAGAACTGAAAGCAGGGTCTCAAAGAAACCTTTGTACACCTGTTCGCACAGCAGCATTAGGGACAATAGCCCAGAGATGGAAGCAACCCAGGCGTCCATCGATGAATGAATGGAGAAGCAAAATGTGGTGTAGACCTACAATGGACTATCGTTCAGCCTGAAAAGGGGAGGAAATTATGACATGTGCTACGACATGGATGCGCCTTGAGGACACTATGCTGAGTGAAATAAGTCAGTCACAAAAGACAAATACTGTATGATTCTGCTTATGTGGGGCACGTAGAGCAGTCAAATTTGCAGAGACAGAAAGTAGAATGGTGGCTGCCAGGGGCTGGAAGGAGAAGGGCAACGAGCAGTTGTTGTTTGAAGGGACGGAGTTTCAGTCTCGCAGGATGGAAAGAGTTCTAGAGTTGGATGGTGGTGATGGCTGCACAGCAATGTGAATGTACTTAATGCCACTGAAGTGTGCACTTGGAAGTGATTACAGCGGCATATTTTATGTTATGTATTGTTTACCACCATAAAAGACACTGGGGGAAAACCCCCACAATAGTTAGTAGGTGAGGCGTGTTATATCTGGCCCAGCACTGACATGGGAAGCCCCATGTCATTGTCCTGGGTCATCACCCTCTCCACGCTGCACTTAGCGAGACTGCAGTATTTTCACCATTCCACAGAGGAGGAAACTGAGGCTGAAGTGGGTGAAGCAACTTGTCTGGAAAGGGCACACCTGGGGCTCGCATCCCACTCTTTCTGGCCCTGGAATGCGCCCTGAGGAGGGTGGACAGTCCCAACCCCGCCTAGGAAGACACAACCAGACTCCAACAAGCCACTCCCCCAGGGGAGGTGCAAGAAGCTGATGTTTCAGCCACAGAGAGGGTAGGTTACAGTGGCTCCTGTCTGCGGAGGAGGAAGCTCTCACAGCTGAGGGAGGGAAAACCCAGGGTCTGGCACCACCTCCCCCAGCCACTGCTAGGTGACCTCAGGCGAGTCACTTCCCAATGCTGACTTTCTTCTTCTTAAACAGGCACAAGAAAGTAGAACTGGAGGCCACAGGAGGCGCTCCTTAAAGACCAAGATCTGTGTCCCACGTGTTGGAGACAGCCAACAAAGTGACAGCTTCATGTCCTCCCACCCTATGATGGCCCAGCAGGTGCACAGAGTTGATGGACTGAGTCACCGTGGGCCAAACAAGCCAGACACAGCTGGGCAGTGGTGGGCAGGGCCAGGGTGACCAGCTGTCCTCTCCTGAGCCCCTTCCCAGCACATCCTGAGGGCCCAAAGAGCCACCCCACCTATTCCTGTGCCTGTGCACAAGGGTGGGCTGAGCCTGCCAGGGAGCGCTGCTTCCAGCTCTAACGGGGCTGTAGGCTCAGCCAGACCACCCTGCCGAGTGGGTAGGGGCCGGTTCCCCTGACACTCCCACCCTGAGGCCCAGGGCAGATGGTGTGCCTAGAAACGTGTTTCTGATCTGCTCACATTTCCTCTAGCCCCTGGGAGTGCGGAGGTCCTCCGAGTTCAAGGACCACTTCCACACCACCCCCAACCCTGTACCCTGCATTCTTGCAGAGTGTGGTCTTTGCTCTTGAGCTGTGGGCACCGCTGTCAATTCCGCTGGTGTCTGAGTTATCACTGGGGAAGGGAGAGGAGGGTTCCTACAAGCCAGGAGAGGGACTTGGGAGAAGGAGACCTCAATCAGTGGCCGTGGGTGTGTGCCCTATCTCCCATCTCATTGGCTTTGTGACCCCAAGGCTGTGTTCACCTGTAAAAATATACCGGAACCCCCCCACCCAGGGCTTTTATGAAGATCAAATGAGTGCATTTAATTAAATAAATTAAATTAAACACAGCATGCTAATAACAGTGCCACAGAACATAGTAAGTGCTTAAAAGTATTAAACTATTATTATTACATGAATTTCACGGAAGGTGTATAACCTAGGCTCAGAAAAGTTTAGTAACTTGCTCAAAGGCATGCAGCTTGGAAAGGTCACCTAGAATTCAATCTGCACCAGGCTGACTCTTAAAAACGAAAAAAAAGAAAAAGATTTTTTTTTCAGAGTGGCACGGTATCTTAGCAGTGACCTGACCTTAGGCAAGTTTCGTTGTCTGCAAGTCCGAATTTCTTCATTTATAAGACGGGGAGAAGCCAGCCCTAGTCCAAATTCATCCACCACAGACACACTGAGAGGCTGGGACAGCCGTGACACTATGAACACAGGGATGATTAGTCAGGAAGCCACTTCTGGGTGCAGGGAGGGCCTGCGTCTCCCAGCTCTGATGCTTGTAATCATGAAGCCCTGGGATGGAAATTGCCTCTCCCCGTCCCAGGTGTCGCTGCAGACTGCCCCAGATGTCCCCTGACATCAAGGAGCATTTAGCACCTCACGATGTCTAAAGCAAGTGACGGGCACACAATGACCGGCTGCTAGCTCTCTGCTCAGGGCTCCTGTTCTTGGTCCACATGCACCTTGCTAGGAAGCTGCAAAAGCACATTTTTATAGCCGAATCCCACAGGGCACCACGCCAGCCACGGGCCAGGCATGCCTAACCGCTTTGAGGCTCAATTTCCTCTGCTTTAAGAATAGAGACAATGATCTCTAGTTTATAGGGTTGTCAGGGTTAAGTGGAGTGTCCCCTGCAGTATAAAGGTGTCACACATCTGTCTGGGTTTCCAGAGCCTGGGCCACCGAGGTGGCTTAGTAAGTATGTTCTCAATAAGTCAATTACACAGCAGGGATGTGTTGTCCTCAGAGGAGACAAATGGCCAGACAGAAACCAACACGTTGGATGCACCCCAATGGTTCCACAGCACTCTTCAGGTCAGGGTGGCCTCTGGGTACACCTGACACAGCCATAATGACGTTTAAATGCACTAAGGGCCACACGCCTTGGGTGTGGCATTCAGAGCCTCCATGATCCAGATTCCAGAGGAGGAGTGAAGCTTTGGTGGGGGGGCGGGGAGCGAGCAGAGGGGTCAGACGCAGAGCTGGGAACAGCCCAAAGGCAGGGACGCCTGCACTCGTGCAGGTAGCAGTTGAGCCCTTGGCTGGTCCAAAGTGCCCCTCTGCTCCTTCAGCCTTCCTGCCCTGCCACCTTAGGGCCAGCACAGTGTGGGGCCCACCTGGACTTGGGAATGATGAGTCCAGGACCTGGAGTTCTGACCCAGCCCTTGGCTGAGAGGGCCCAGCCCGCTCTCCTGAGAGCTTGTTCTTGGTCACAGCTGAGCTGCACCCCCCTGGTGCTCCTGCCAAGCCTAAGCGGGGATGGATAGGCTTCAGTCCTGGGCCAGTAAACCACAGGGGAGGCTGGTTACACTTTCCCAAGCAGAGGCAAGAACATCGAGCCTTTGCTTCTGTCCCTGCTCCTCACGGGGCCCCAAGCCCATGCAGCATCTTGCCGCATTCCCCCAACAGGCCCCACAGTTCTGGCCAGCTCTTAGGGTAGAAGGGGGCTGTGTCCCTGTCCTGCTTTCATGGGAAGTGACTGGCTCCTGCTCTCTGGCCAGCACTCAGACCAGCAGCAGGGGACGGAGACCTAGCTGAGACCACTTCCTTCTCTCCCCTTGCCCCCAGCATTTGAACAATGATCTATTGTGAACCAATGGAAAGAAGGAAGGAAAGAGAGAAGATGGGGGAGAGAACAGAGAGGGGGAGGGGGGTAGCCACAACCTGTACTTGCCTGAACATCAAACTCTTGCAGGAGGCCGGTGATGGTCTGTGGAGAGACAAGAGAGATGGTCAGTTTCGTGAGTTTCCTCAGTTGGGGAAATAATGTTGGAACACGTGGGCCTCTCTACACCCTGAACCTGTATCTTCTCTCCCTCCTCTGTGGGGCCCCCCTAATTCCAAAGAGAGACTTTCCTTTTCATCTCAAAGAATAGCAGTCCAATTAAAAAAAAAAAAAAAGGAGACACATTAGCATTAGCTGTGTTCCTTTTTGAAGATAGTCTTGGTAAATAAAAATCTGAAGGTCTAAGCTGACCACAAGCTTGAGAGATACAGGACTATAACCAGCTATTAACTGGTCTCCCTGTCTCCGCTCCAGCCAGTGCTATACTTTTAAACTCAAACCTGACCATGTCATGGTCCTCCTTACATTTTTTCCACAGCTGCCATCATCATCCACAGCTGTGGATTCTGGATTAAAATCCAATCTCTTGTGAGTGGAAGAGAAGAGTAAAGACCTTTAAGCATTTCCCTCAACCTAAAAAATCTGAATTTCAGCCTAAATTCCATCTTTCATCAGAGCTGTCCACGGCAGGACAGGCTCAGCAAGACAGGGAAGGGGTTCTTGTCCCCTCTGGAGCAGGAGGAATGGGAGCCTCGGCTGGCCAACATTTCTAAGAGATATTCCTGGTATGTTTTCCTTCAGACCCAGAGATTTCAAATACTCTCTGAAAATGGAGCCCCATCCTACTGCCAGGAAAAAAAGACAGCTCACAGAGCAAAATGCAAAAGAGGCGTGGGAAATAAAATGGAGCCCCCCTTGCCCAACTGGGGCTGGGAGACAAGATGATCTGCCGCAGGGGTTAAAATAACTCCACATCCCCTGGGCTATGGAAAAGAACATCAGAGAGTTTGGGTAAATTCAGGTGGAAGCAAAGGCGGCTAACACCTACATCCTGTGTGTGTGTGCACGTGAGTGTGTGTTGGTACGAGGGACTGAAGAAGGCTGTTCTGTACAACCCCAACCTTCCAAGTGTCAACCAGAGTACATGGCTGTTCGGCCTGAGGACAGATAGGAGGAAGAAATTCCCGACAGCAAGCCTAACTAAAAACATTTGGCTGAGTTAATCTGTAGCATTGGAAGAAATTCATTTCCATCTAAACCTTGAAAGAAAAGGTAAATATCCCCAAAGAGATGGACTATCATGTAACCCAGAGTGGACAAGCTCTTAGATGTCTGTTCCAGAAATAAAATTTTCTAAGGATACCAGTGGGCTGACTGAAACAAATAAATAATGTCTTTTAAAATGCATTTACCCTTGGACCCCGTGATGCCACGTCTTAGAATTTTCACTGGGGTTGCACCTGTATACATATGCAATGATATACATGCAAGATCAGTGAGGGCACAAATGCCCTGCAGCGCCGTTCGCAATGGCGAAAGGCTGGGAAAGACACAAGTGTCCACATACCGGGCACTGGGCAAATATATTTGGTGGAATCCTGTGTAGCTGGAAAGAGAAAAGTAAGTGCACTATGGACTGATCCAGGAAAGATCACCAAGAAATGTTAAGTGAAAAAGCAAAGTGTGATATACTATTTCTATAGGGATTTTCTAAAGGGGGAGCTAAGACTATGTTGATATGTATTTGTGCCACCTAGGAGTTTTTGTTTGTTTAATTGTTATTTAAGACTGTGTCCCAGACCCACAGTGAAAAGGAAATGGATTTAGAGCCTGCATGATGTGTAGTAAGGGTTGGTAGACCAGGGACCGCCACCTGTTTTTGTAAATAAAGTTTTATTGGAACATAGCAATCACATTCCACATATTGCCCACACTGCTTTCATCCTATAATGGCAAAGTTCAATAGTTATGACAGAGGCTGCATGGTCGATAAAGCCTAAGACATTTACTGTCCAGCCCTTTGCAGAATCCTAGCACAGAGCGATAGATAAGCAAGGGTTCCGCAGCTTCCCCAGGCTTGGTTCCTAATCTTAGTTGTGCCAACTATGTGAATGAACTTGGGCAATTCCCTTCCCATCTGAGACAAGTTTCTCTATCTGCAAAATGGGAATAGAGGTAGTTGCCTTACACATTTGTAATAAAAAGTCCATGAAATTCTGAGCCTAAAACAGAACAGCCACGTGTAGAGTCATAAAGAAATTAAATGAAGAGTCTATTCGCCAAAGTCAGCTGGCCTGGGTTCAAGTCCATGACCCATACTTTGTAACTAAGTGACCAAGGGCAAAGTAACCTCCCTGAGAGTCAGTCTTCCTTTTCTATAAAATGGGGACAACCACAGAACCCAGTACCTAGACCGACCACGGTTGAAATATGGTTAGCTGAGAAGCAGGCACCGAGGATGTATTCCACGCAGGCTAACTATTATTTTTCAAAGCATTTAGTTGGCCTTGGAGTAACTTCCTTTTTGAGCCTGAGCTTCCACATTTTTAAAAAGATGCATCTTTGCAGGCAGCTGTGAGGCTCAGTGAGAATCGGGATGTGAACACGTTTTAAAAACACAATGTCAGCTGCACGAATGTAAAAGCTCATCTGTCGCCTGAACGATCGGCCCAGGACGGACCCTGCCATCCCAGGAAGGGACCTCTGCTAACAGAAGAGGTTTGACCAAAAAGATAATAATAGTAATTTTAGAGAGACAACGTTCTAACTGCTCCATGTGAATTAACTCGCTCCACCCTCACTTGGCCCCATGAAGTAAGTCCTAGTGTCAGCCTTTTACAGATGAGGAACTAGAACATGAAAAGGCTGAAGGATTTGCTAGTGGACACCAAGCTGCAAAGCGTCACAGCCAGAATTTAACCCAGGCAGTGTGGCCCCAGAGTATGTAGCTTTTAACCATGAGGCTGTGGGGCAGGCAGACCCCAGGGGCAACTGGGTTCCAAATTGCATGTTCTAGAACCACAGGATATCAGAGATGGAGGCACTTAGAGACCTTCTGGTTTGATGTCCTCACTTTACAAATGAGAGCAGTGAGCTATTGGGTACAAAGGCCCAGAGAGAGGGGCAAGGGGCCTGGCCCATGATGCCATAGCAATCAGTGGCCAACTGGGGCTCGAAGTGGTGCCTCTCACTCCTTTGCTTTCAAGGAAGCAGTGGACACATGTGTGCACATGTGTGCATGTGTCCATGCATGCTGTGTACATGTGTGTAGCACGTTCATGTGTGTGCATGCTGTGTATACATGCCTTGTGTGCATTCCTATGTGTGCATGTATGTGCGCACAAGCATATGGGTGTGCTGTGTGCACATGTGCCTATGTGTGTGCCTATATGTGTACACATGCACATGTGATGAAGGGTGCTAGAAACATCTCTACTCACCTCCCCTTTCTCTACCAAAGGCTTCACCTCGGCGAGGTCCACATCCTGCAGCTCCCGAGACATGTTCCTGCTGTCACCTGCCTGCAAGAAGACAAAGGCCAAGAGGTCAGCACTTCCTGCTGAGAAGTTTCCCGATGGAAGCAAATACAGGGCCAGGGAAAGAAATGCCAAAAAGGCTGGATCTTCACTCTGCTCAGCAGCTCTTACCTCCTGCACCGTGCATTACAGGTGACAAGGACGCCCCTCGTACCGGCCCCATCCCAGTCTCCCCACTGGGGTCTAGGGGTGGTATATTTCCTGGGAGAGGAAACTGAGGCTCAAAGACACACCTGCCTTCCCAAAGAAACTGATAGGTCAGGAAGGACTCACAAACAGGTCCCCATGTCAAGCCCAGGCCCATGTGCCATGCCCATGACACTTCTCACTGCATTTAATGGAAAGGGACTTGCACTGCTGATCCCAGCAGCCCCAGGCTAACAAACAAAAGGGAACAAAAGGTCACAGGATGCTCACTATGTACAGGCATGGTACGAGCCTCACCTTCAGAGTTAGCCTCATCAGAAGGCCGGCAACACACACACACACACACACACACACACACACACACGTGCGCACGTACGCACACCTCACATCTGCCTCTGTGCAGGACTCTCAGCTAGCTGTCGAAAGGGAAGAGGGACCAAGGACAGGGAAAACCTCAAGCCAAAGAGACTGACAGGCACTAAACACTCAGTAGGATTCTGAAAGAAAAGAGACCTTCAAGGCAAAAAGCACTTCATGGGCCAAAACAGGGGATGGGCCAGAGGGGCTCCTCATTGGCGCTAACACGGGGCAGGTGCAGAAGGACCAGGAAGTGACAGCTGCAAAACTAGACTGCAGCAGGGTTCAGGAAGGTGGGAAATACCAAATGCCGCCATTACTGACTCCGTGGGGAGCGAGGCCTGGGAAGGCAGGGCCAGCTACTGAGCCCACTTCCCAGAACTTAATCCAGAAGCCAGGTATAAACATTTATTCTTAGGGATCCATAGTCAAGTTGGAAAAATTAAACGCCTGCCAACACCTGGGGTGGGGCACGAAGAACCCAGAATAAGGCTGTTCCAGGCAGCAGCAGAAGATTGGGGGAGAAGGAGTCAGTGCCAAGAGGAAGGAGTCCAGGCCAGCCACCTGGTTCACAGATACGGACCTTCTGACTTGGCAAACTCCATGAGAAACAGCCTGACCGAAGTCTGCACCACTGCGGCCTTCGGAGTAGGGACCTGGGTCCCCAAGCTGCCCAAGGACCGTCGGGTGCAATGGCAAAGAGCACACAAGGCTCTAAATTCCCAGGGCTCCTCTGAAGACCCGGGAACCCACGAGACCTTTGTGAAACGCCTTTTAGAGCTTAGCCAGCGGGCGCAGCCTCCCAGATCCACCCTGCGTGCCGACACGTGGCATTCCGTGGGCGTGTCCTGCTCGCCACTGGGATGCTGTGGTCTGGGGCCCCAGCACGATCTTCCCCAGTAGATAACCAACCCCACAAGAATGCCTTTATGCAGCCTTTGCAGTCTATGCTCCAGAACATTCCGAAAACAAAGTCGGTTTTATATTTGTGAACATTCCTGGGCAGCTGCCCACTTGGAGGCAGGAGGCATGAAAAGCTGGTGTCTGTTAGTCTTGCTAATTCAGCAGGTTCGTGGTCCCAAGACCCTGGCCCGTGGGACACCTCGCCTACACAGCCTAGGGAGCCTTCCAGAAACCCAGGGCCTTGGCACCACCAGCCTTCATGCTGAGAGTGAAGGCACTTCACATTTCACAGGGGCTTCTTAACATACTCTGCTCAGCAGAGGACCCCAGGGTGAAGTTGGGGGCCTCTCACTATCTCACTGGGTGGGTTCAACCAGGCCTTCTTCAGCCCCACCTGTGAGCTCCACCCAGCAGGCAGCTTAACCTGTCTTGTTCCCGGTCTTCCTCTAGCTCCCAGCATTACACCAGGTGCACAGTGAGGCCACAACTCACTTGCTGAATAGACGAGCAATGTAGCTCAATAGCATGCTTGTAGTTGAATTCACTTTTAAACTGTCGCTAAACCACACGAGTGCAATGCCTTGAAAACAATTCTACATTTATAAGCAGCATGTGCTGTAGTTCAGCCCAGTTTGGTCAGTTCTCCTTGCCTTCCAGAAACTGTGATCAGATTAGAATATAGTATCAGCCTCCAAGGGCTCCCTCCTCCTCCTTCAGGACAGAAAATAGAGAAATTTCAGCCCTCGTGGTTTCCTGCAGGTGCACCTGGTGAAACCCCTTACCCCACCCCACACGTGCTTTCCTTCCTATGGCTTCGCTTCTCAGACCAAGAGTGGGTTGGAAAATGCCTGCATCTCCTAGAAACAGCAAGAACCTGACAATCTGCTTTCTGGAGCTGGATGGGCCTCATGTGGCCTTAGGGAAAAGCCCAGGGGCGAAGCTACTGGGGACCATCACAGGATTTATCCAGACTAGGGGTAACTATCTCCCAGGTGACATTTGGCAATGTCTGGAGACATCTTTGATTGTCCCCAAAACAATTGATTCAATTGATTTTGAGCCACCCAGCAAGCATTCTGGATGCTAACGTCTGCAGGGAGAGTGGACAAAACAGAGGAAGCCCTGCACTTGTCTGGGGAGGTGGGGACTGGGCGGACACGCAGGCCTGGGGGCAGCCTGCGTGTTGATAAACGCCACCCCTACCCTATGTCTCCAGACCTGCCCTTACAGAACACCTGAAAACCCCTTTATTCAGAGATTTCTTCCCACACTAGGTTCTCATGTGCCCAACACAGAGCCAAGTACAACAATAACAACACAAGCTATGTTGACGAGGACTTACTACATGGCTGGTCTGGGGATTTGGCCACAAACACACAGAGCCAGCTCCTGCCCTGACGGAACTCACCGTCCCGAGGGGCCAGGTGCCCCCCTCGGGCTCACTCATTGGGCTGTGTCCAGGCTGTGTCCCCGCTGTGTGGCAGTCCCACCCGTCCCCCTGGAGGGCACTGGACCACTGCACCTCCAGGACGGAGGTCTCGCACTCAGCACTGCTGACATTTGGGGCTCACGCAGTCTTTGTTTCAGGGGCTGTGCTGAGCATCGAAGGAGGTTCCGCAGCAGCCCCCGCCTCCGCCCACCAGATGCTCACAGCACCCACCCCCAGGATGTGACAACCAAAAATGTCCCCTGGGTGCAAAATCAACCCAGGCTGGGAACAGCTGATCTTGGCAGTTCCTGATATGAAGGGTATCCAGAGTGTCTGTTAGATACAGACGATTGTTTGTTTGTTTTACAAGACCTTCCAAACTATGGATACGATTCTTATTCAATCTATCACACACACACACACACACACACACACACACACACACACCCACACACACACACACACACACACACACACCCCACCACCACTGAGGAGGCGGCTGAGCCAAGGCTCTGGTGAGTGTCCTGAGCTCCCCGGACAGCCACAGCAGGAGTGGCCGGGCTGGAGCGGGTCCAACACGCACACTCCTCCTTCTTCACCACGCTCTTCCTCAAAATGCCTTTCCTCTGGGATTCAAAGAGACGCCCCCCAGAGTGTGAGGCTCCCAGAAGGTCACAGAAGACACTGCAGCTCGGCAAGTGGATGGGCCAAGCCTCTCCCAGGGCTTGGGGTCTGCCCTGGGCTCCAGGCCCTGCCCTCCTGCCACGTCTCAGAAAGTCCCAGTTGCAGAAGGTTGGGACCCTCCGGAAAGGGCCAAAGCAAGCTGCTAGCGGGCGGGGGAGGGCAGGGCAAGGCCACACTGCACAGTGGGGACCCGGGTGCACTCCCAGCCCACCTGCCCCGCCTCAGCACTGGCGCGGGGCCTGCCAGCTGCCTCTCTGAGGCCTCTTTGTGCTCCAAGAAGCACAGGAAGCCCCTCTAGACAGAAATGAGGTCGGGACAGGTCTCTCTCTGCTAAAACCCCCTCAGCACCAAAAACAAGGCTCCGGGTCATAGCACCAGCCGCCAGACGGGCGTGTGTTGCCACTTCTTTCTTTCCCACCAGCCTGCCCCGGAGGGATTTGGAGAAGAAAGGGAGCCAGGGGCTGCAAGAAGGTTTGCGGGTCCAACTTGGGTATCACCACCGATTAGCTCTGTGATCCTGAACAATTTAGCAAACCTCTTTGCCTCAGTTTGCTCATCTGTCAGATGGGCATGCTGACTCCTGCTCCCAACAAACAGCAGTGGCTTCAATTAAACAATGGCATGTAGAAAACCTGGCACGCAGCTACTTAATTCATCACAGTGCTTTCCTTTCCTGGTTGCCTTGGAGACAACAGGACATCTGAGGACAGGAGCCTGTGTTTTACAGCCTGTTATTCCAGAGTGGTCCAGCAAGGAGGGGAGCACGCGGGAGACGTTCAGCAAATGCCACAGAGGTTTCCAGCCATCAGACCTGAGGCACCACCCCCAGGGCTCTCCTCTTTTCTAGCAACGTCAGTCAATGAGTAACAGAAGCCCATGAGGGGCTCGGCAAATATGTTTCCAGCCCAGCAGACCCAGGAGACAAGTTAGCTGGGCCATGGGTTTCAGGAGAAGCCAAGACTGGGATCTGCCCCGAGAAGGGAAGAACATGACGCTGGGGCTTGAGACGGCAGTGGGCAGAGGTATCTCGCAATCCAAGACTCCTGGAGAATCGCTCACCAGGCCCTGGGGGGCTGAAAGGACACACAGAGCTCCGTGGGGCAGTAGGAACGCCAGCCTAGGGATCAGGACATGGGGATCTGGCCAGGATCTTGCAACATGACTCTGAGCAAGCCATTCCCTCTCTGGGCCTTGGTTTCCCCATCTGTAAAGTAGGCACAGGGCATGTTCTATGGACATCGCATGGTCTATAACAAACTTGGGACAAATAAGAACCCAGGCAGGAAGGTGCTTCACAAAGACAAAGGACCACAGGATCTTATCAGAGCCCTGCTGGGCCCAACTCTGGCCGGATTAGTCCTGCACCTTGGACCAAGGCCCTCCCTTCTCCCAGCCACAGACCCCCATCTGCTAAGACCAGAGCCTCACCCCAGCTCTGTCGCTCCTCTAACCTAAGCTGCCCAGCGGGACCCATC